GAGAACAATTAGAATAAGGACACAGAATTTATATGTTATTTTATTGTGGTTATCCAAAGTTTAACACAAGGAAATGCAGGTAATCTGTCCACAACACTGAAGACACAGAATATTCAGCCCTAGGGCCTAGAACTCGCATTAATATCCTAAATGAGTCCAGAGAAAACCTAGAGCTCATGACAATGCCTCTCAAGAGTCCACCAATCTATTTTATGGATCAGTGCAGGGAGGACCACAGGTCAGAAGTGGAAGCTATAAAATCTATGCCAGTGTGTGAAGGAGTTGTGCTAGTAAGTTGTGGGTTCTACACTGGAACTGAGAATTCACACTAATAATAAAGACCAGGGCTGTCCTGAAAAGCACCACAGCCATCCTCAGCAACACAGAGGTCCTGAGATCCTCTGACGATAAGCACAGTTGAGTACATGCCAGAAAGCCAGCATGACTAGTTTCTTCTGGAGACTAAATGGCACACATCTTCCCTTCCATAGCCAGGAAGTGATGCTTGATGTACAGAACAGAGCTCCAAAGTGAAACACAGCCACTCTTACCAACAAGGTCCCAAGCTCCTTTGACGACAGTGGTCAAATTTACACTGGGGAAGACAGTCACAATGAGCTTCTCCAGGTGAACTTACAGCTTAAAAAAGCAATACTTAGAGAAACTCACAATGCCTAACTCCTTTTTTCCATGTCTATATTTATACTGGCAGCTTTCCTCAGGTGGGCCATTTACACTTAACACCATGCTGTTTAAATTCAGCTGGTGTTAGGTGACCAACAAGTTTTTAATCCAAAGTTTAACACAAGGAAATGCAGGTTTAAATTTAAAAGTTTAATATTGGTCACCTTCTGTTGGTTGTGTGGTTGGCTTGCAGCATACATCGTATTAAGCTGAAATAAACAATTTATGAGAAATTGCAAACTATACAAACAGGGTAGCATAAGAATTACTAAGTCTTGTAAAACATCCCGAATCCTTTCTTCATGTTGTACACTTGCATATGGTAGTGAAGAATGATTGACAGACTATTGAGATATGAATGAAATGTATACCTGCTATCCCCAGGTATAGAGCACCAGCACCTCCATCACCTCAGTCATGACTTAGGCGATTGGGTGAATATTTGTGTTATTCAGTTTATCACATGTGTTGATAAAGAAGCCATGTTTTATATGCAGGTAATTAGCTCCTTTGTTTCATTTTTCTGCAACATTTTTGGTTTTAAATGAATTAATTTTCATTGTTTATTTCAAAACTGCATTGTTTTCACCATTCAGTAATATGCTGCCTTTATTTTCCTAGAGATATAGTACACTATCTTGTTTTTTGTGGCTATTATTATAATCTCAGTTTCAGGTCAGGAAAAGAAAAACAATTTAAAAAATTCAAAATAGTCCTTCCTCTTGATTTCCAAAGTCTCTAGCCATCAGATAGATGGGATGGTCCTTAGAAGCCCATGATGTCCTGATGTAACTTTTCTTTAATCTTGAATGCCATAACTCAAGTGCTTGTGGCAGAAGTCTAATACAAAATGCTTGAAATGGAAAAATGTTTTGTGTGGATTTCAATAGTACCATCCAGGTAGTGTATGAAAATTTGGCTGCTAATATAGTGCCCATTTAATGTCATTATTTTAAAATTTGATTCTATTAAACATCTCTTTTTCTAATGCACTGGAATTGTCCCATTTATCTTTTAGTGCTTTGTACTGCATTCTGTTTGAATGATACATTTCCTAAATGGCTCTTCCTAGAAAATATGAATGAATATTACAAAATTATTATTTTTCCTACTCTATTTTGCTTTCATATATATTATCATCATATTTATAAAATGATTTGCATATTTTTCTGTTTCGTTTGTTATTTATGACTATGCTTTTTACCTTATTTTTCATGAATTGATTAAACTTCAGGGCAAAACCTTGCATTCAACATTTCATTTAAACACACCACATACATTATAGTTAACATAGAATTTAAATACTTACCTTCAAATTCAGTAAAATGATACAAAAAATAGAGTTTGTAACCTGAAACATGTACCATCAGCTAAACTAAGTTGATAATGCCCACCCACAACCTGCTTATACTCATCCCTCCCCAAATTTTTGCTGATTTCAGTATACATCATTTGAGAATGAAATATACCCAACACTGAATACACTCACCCAAGGCCAGATTTGCCTGTTGTGCATTAGAAGTTGATTACTTCCTTTCCATTATTGATAAACTACAATTATTATCTACCTCAAAACTAAAATGTTGCTCTAAATGTTCCCTTTCCTTTGAAAGCAGTATGTAATTTGTTCCAAACAATTTAATAAATGAAGCAATTAATATTCTTCAATAATCAAAAATTTGGGGGGAAGTTTTCAATGCCCTTTGGAAGATTCACACCCTGAAACTACATTCATAACCACGTTGTTTGTTTGACATCTAAATTTTTAACATTAGGGAAGTAAACCCAGGAGAACTGCCATTTGGTGTAACAAGCTCAAGCAACAAAGCAATTAGGGGAAATTTTGTTTGTTACTTAAAATTTCATTTCTTCTGATTCGAAGATATCCTGATATTCATGTCTTAAGGGGAAAAAAGCCAACTTGCATCTACATAGAGACTATACTTCTGAAAATCATAGAGAGGAAATACAGCAACAAAAACATAGCCATATCCATTCCTGTAAACTCAAAATAACAGAGTTGAATGATGGCAGACAATAGCTAAAGTCATTTTTTCTTTTTTCTTTTAGAGATGGCTTAGCATGGTGTGTAAGGCAAAACTGAAGGGAAAAAGATAGCTAATACCCACACAGGCACAGAAACATTTTTGCAATAGCATCTATCTTTTAAACTACTGATTTTAACATTATGATGATGTAATTCTAAATTCCAGTTTCTGAATTTTGTCTATGATGGCACACTGGTTTTGATTAGTGATTCTGAGTATAGGGCACAAACTTATTTTCATCTCTCAATGCCTGGCTCCAAACAGTGAAAGCTGTAATTTTCTTAATACCTGAATGTGTTTCAGATTCATAGACCAGTACATGGCTGCTTCAATAGGTAGATGGGGGCTGCATTAGATAAAGAGGTTGATAAATATTGGTGTTCTTAATTCTAGAGACCATGTCATCATCTTACCTTTCAATATAGAATTATTTCAATGAAATTCTGCAAATTCAAAGAGAGTTGTTTCAAAGAAAGTTTCCTAGTACTCTCGGTCACGTAATCAATGAGAAATGGATTTGGTTATTAATAGTCACTTACACAATAAATACCATGAGAAACAATAGAAGAAAATATTTAAACAGTATTGAAGCAATCAGAAAATACTTTTAAGAAGATATGTTATCTTTGAACAGATTTGACAAGAAGTGTAGTATTAAAAAGAATGTATGGATCCAGCCCATTATTTAAAAATAATTAAATGGTTTCAAGGTGAAAAAATGTTTTATTAATTTTAAAATACAAAAATTGAACTTGTCCTCAAGGAGTCTGACAGAAGATAAAAGGAAACACAAACTTAGATTGCAACAATGAAACTCTGAGAAGTTACACTAGGAAAATATTTTGAACAATTTCTTTTTAATAATTAGCAATGTGCAAATTATTAGAGAAAAATGTGTCTTTAAACACTCAGAAACACTAATATGTTACAGAAATGAAGATATGTAATAATGAAAATATTTTCAGAAGCTATTCTTTTTAGAAGTCAATAGCAACATATATAAAAAAAGTATAAGTAACTTAATATAATGGAGGTATTTCAAGTAAGTACTTCAAATACAGGGTCATAAACAATAAATTAAAAGTTTTAAAGTTGCTGCAAAATATTATTTTCAACTTTCCTCATTTTGTCTTTCGCATTTAACTTGTATCCACACATGTACCTGTGAGTAAGTCAGATGGGGGCTAAAAATATGACTTTGACCAGATAGATATTCACAATGATGTACAGTTTGTGTATAATAAATGTCTGAAAGTATGTACATTTTAGTCTTCCCTCCAGAGTCAGGAATAATGCTCGATGTGAGGACTAGAGCTTCTCTAGGAGTACCAATGGTTCAAACAGTAACGCGGTGGAGAACTCACAATACCTCAGTGCTTCAATGCATTAGCTTCTCCTCCACATCTCTACTTATGCTGGCAACTTTCCGCAGGTGAGACATCTAAACTCAGCACCATGCTGGTGTAATCCAGCTGGTGTTAATCTGACCACCAGTTCTTAATCCATAACAATATGATAGCTAATTATACTACTAATGTATTGTTAGTTCATCAAAAAGAAAGGCTTGTGTTTTCATTGTTTTATTTTTTGTTCAGTTTTTTATGCTTATATCTTGTAATCTGAATAATTACTTTGATAATTATCTAAGTATACATGGTATAGTAACCATTGTTGATCTCCTATTTTTTCATTTTAAAATTAAAAAAAAACAGTGAGTACTACTTTGCCATAAAGAAGGAAAAACGTGAGTCATTTTAGGAAAACGGATGCACTGTGAGACCATAATGTTAAGTGAAATAAATCAGGCACACAAGCATGGTGTCTCTTGTATGAGAAACCCAAAGTGTAAATAAACATCAAAAAAAGGTAAATGATGGGAAGTAGGGAGCGAGACCTTTTTCAAAAGGGAAGGAAACTGTGTACAGTGGGCGGCAGGGAGGAAGGGAAAGGGGATGAAAAAGAATCTAAATATGCTTTGTACATAGTACTGCAGAAGGAGAAACAGCCAGGACTCCCAGACCATGCCCTTAGGTCGATTCAGGCCTGAAGGTAGTCCAGCCCTTGCCTGACTGTGTAGCCATCAGAAAGTGAGCTGGAGCAACAAAGGGGCTGAGGGGGGTAAACACACTGAGACAGCGGGGATAGGCAGAAAGAAATGCTCACCCTAAACGCGAATCTGAGAAAGCCTCTGCCATTAACACAGCACTGGAGCAGGGGTGCATCTGCAGGAAGGCCTGGAACCCATCACTCAGGAAGAAAGAGCCAGAACTAGAGGCTGCCCAGCAGCAACAACTGGCCCTGAGGAAGAGCCCTGAAGACGTGAGGCTGAGGGCAAAGTGCAAAAGAGCCTGGCAGCCGGGGACATAGCTGCAGGGCAGCACTAAGCTGCATGGACAAAGTGGACTTGCTCCGGGATGAATTAAAAGAGACTCGGTGCCTGCAGAAGCTGTCCAAACAGGAGTTTGCCCGCCAGCTACAAGACGTCCAAGAGGCTGTTCCAAAGTGACTACAGGCAGAAGAAAGAGCACATGACCGTGCTAGACTGGCTGCATGGCAAGACAGAGGCCACTCAGCGTGTGACTGAGGAGGCCAAGGAGGTTCTGAAAGGAGCAGAGCAGGGCGTGGCACAGTCTTGAAGCAGCTGGTATGGGTACAGGCCCAGAGCAAGGGACAGGTGGGGGTGGAAGCACATGCAAGAGGAGGAGGTGATATCACGCAAAGAGGCAGCATTGGACATGCAGCAACAGGGACACAGGGTCCAGGAAGAACTGCAGCACCTGTAAGCGAGTTTGAAGGCTGAGAGCTAAACCCAGAGCCAGCACGCAGAGGAGACTGAGCACAAGCAGCTGTGCGTGCACCGCTGCAGAGATCCACGCGGCCGGCCCACAGCTGCAGGCGACCCTGCACCAAGGAGGGGGCTGCGGGTTAGCTGTGGGCTCTGCACACACAGGAGGAGGAGGAAGTGGAAACACAGAAGCTGCTGAGCACTTCTTGGAGGGGATGGCCTCCTGCACAGAGCACCACCAAAAGCCACACGCTTTGATGTCATTTTAACACTGGTTCGTGATTTTCCTATAGCAAAATCCCACATTTTTCACATCTGACAGTATCACTCACAACATAAGCTTATAATGCTCTTTTCTATTTTATACAATAACTCATGTACAGAATATTTGCAGGAACCTTATGAATAATATCTCTATCGACAACATAATTTTTCAAATTAGATGTATATATTGCATTAATTTCATATTGCAAATATAATAAAAATATGTTTCAAATAAGAAACTTGAAAAACTAAAAATAGACAAATTGATCCCCAATATGTTATTTTTAAATGTAAGCCACCCATGCTGTTACTTATCCTTTTTAATTTTTTTCACAGATAATTTACAGAAGTGTTACTATAATATCTCATGCTATTTTTACTAAATTTTCAATAATACATCCTATCTTATTATATCAGAAACATGAACATTAAAAAAGACCAATATTGAGAAGTCAATGTATACAGTAAAAAGTAAACAAAAGTAATTTAGAAATAATATCCCTGTAACAAATATAGTAATGTTAACTTTTGGTGTTTACTTTGCCCTACTTTTTTATGTCTATCAAAAACTAAACTACATGTGATTTATTTATCCTTCCTGATATTGATGATGTGACAAGTATAGATTTTCTTTCAATATTTCCAAACCCACATATAGGTTGTATCTTGTCTTTCTGTTTCCGAAAACGAACTTACAATACCCATGATAATGAGTAAAGAACTCAAATAGCAAAATCGAAATAATAAAGACATTTGCCAACTAAAAATCAGCTGATATGCTTTCCCCAAAATTCTAGAAACATGTAAAGAGAATGCACAGATATACACAGATGGAGCAGAAAAGAATAAACCACATATCCCAATGCATTACTATGCAGAGAATATGATTTTTTTCCAGCATATGGCAGAATGCATGCAAGGAAATGAACAAAATATGTCCCAAAAATTTTATTAAAATTTAGAAGCCATGGATCAACATAAGAAACAGAAAAGAACAGCATTACAATTTCTTTTTTTTTAATTTTATTTAAGAGGAAAAAGAGAAAAACACAAAACAAAACAAAGCGGTGTAAGGGTACACATAATACAGAACTACAAAAAAAAAACAGTAAGAAATCACCTGTTAATAGATTACATATTATCATCTTAGAAATAGTTGCTCAAATCACAGTATCAAAGAATACAAGGTGGACATTCAAACAGAGAGACTGCAAACAGCTGTGTTCAATGATCCAAAAACATTAATATAGTCAGCTATTTAACACCCCTAAACACACTTGCTGTAATTGTACCATGACTTAGATAAGAAAGCTAGTAATGAAGAACACACGGCAGTGGCAGTGCTGGAGCATAAAATGACAGAGCTGTGAACCTGTGTGAACTATCAGAGCAGCGGGCTCCACTTCCTCCTTTAGCTGAAGAAAGGGAGTGGCAGTTCCCACGCTAGGTGTTGTAAGGTCTTAAAGATTTTCATTCACAGGGCCAGGGGTTTAGCTCAGCAGCCTACTTGGCAAATGCAGGGTCAGGGTCATCAGTTCAATCCCTGGTGCCAAAAAACAAAAAAACATTAAAAAAATTGTCATTTGCTTTGTGACACTCCCACAGACCAGGAAGCCAATGACTAGAAAAAAGATGAATATTTGAGGAGCTCCATACTGGAAGAAGTGTTGTTGCTGAGCAAAACTTGTCTCCTCAGCCTGGAGATGCACCTCCTTAGCTGAAGTGTGGATGTTTACAGTGACATTGTAAACATCTGGTGAAATATCTATATGGAGATTGTCTTTACTATAAAGTTGGTAGGCAGGTCCTTGTGCACTGAACTATGTCCACATTTGTTGCGTTACTTTTGTCAAACACAATATAATCTCAAGTCTTAGTTCTAAATTTAGATTAGTTCCTCTTCATTCAGACTTCTATATTTGCCACTGAGAAATCTATTTGGATACAGCAAATAGGCAAATAGTGTATTTATATTAAATTAAAATAGCTTTGATTTATTTCACTTAAAGCATAGTCATATATACTTTGAAATTAAAGTGCCATCTATACTTTTAAAATGGATATGATCAAGATATTAAAATGTATTTATTTGAATTGTATTGAGTGAGAAAAAATCTTAGATATGATCAGCTTCCTGACTGTCTCTTTCACATCTTTGTTCCTGAGGCTGTAGATGAGGGGATTCAGCATGGGGACCAGGACTGCATACAGGGCAGTGGACACCTTGACTAAGAGCCAGGAGCTCTTAGAGCTGGGCACACAGTAGAGAAGGAGGAGGATGCCATGGAAGATGCTGATGACAGTCAGGTGGGAGGTGCAAGTAGAGAGGGCTTTCTGGAGTCCCCCCTTGGAGGGCATCTTGATAACAGTGATGACTATGGAGGCATAAGAGGCAAGGATGAACAGGAGGCTGCAAGCCTCACTGAAGGTGGAAATGATGAAACATACCATCTGGCTGAAGGAGGAGTCAGAGCAGGACACTGAGAGGACAGCAGAGTACTCACACCCAAAGTGATTTATGATGTTAGACTCACAGTAGGACAGCTGCACAAGGGAATATGTGATTGTCGAGGAACATAGTCCCCCCCACATGTATGTCCCTGCCACAAGCAGAGCACAGAGCGTAGGGGACACAGTGGCTGTGTAAAGCAGGGGATTACAGATGGCCACAAACCGGTCATAGGCCATCACTGCCAGCATAAACATCTCTGTAATCACAAATGCACAAATGAAGAAAAATTGTGTCATGCATTCTCTGAAGGAGATGGTTCTGTCTTCCACAATCAAGATTTCTAGTAGTTTGGGTGTAAACACACTGGAATAGCAAATATCCAAAAAGGAAAGATGGCTGAGGAAGAAGTACATGGGTGTTTGAAGTTTGGGGTTGATCTTTCTGACCACAATTATGCCCATGTTCCCCAGAAGAGTCACTGTGTAGCTGGTCAGGAACACCAGGAAGAGGGGTGCTTGGAGGTGGGGGTATTCTGAGAACCCCACCAGGATGAATGAGATCACAGAGCTTTGATTTCTTACTTCGTGTGCCATGGTTCTTCATTTAAAAAGGAAGAATGAAAATAAAATTGCACAGCAGAAACAGAGCTCTTTAAGTAGAAGAAATTCATGCAGGGCTCCTTAGAAATGACTGAGGTAAATACTTTCCCTTTCCTAGTGCTCTTGCTTCCCTCTGGAGTCCTGCAGGGCCACTTACCACCAAGTGATGACACACAATTAACTCAGTCCTTTTGTCCTCTGCATTTTTGTTATCTGTAATAAAACAGTAGTATTTATGAATATTGATGACATATGTAAATTATATGTAAATCTACCTGATACTCAGAGTACTTCTTAATAAAATATATGACATAAAAGGAGACAAAGCAAAAATCAGACAGGTATTGCCCATGTCATAGTAGTGATAGGATCGATCATGTCAGAGGAGACCATGGGAGTATTAAATCCTTTTAAATTGCAACTATACATAAAATTGCAACAATTTGGAATAGGAGGCATATATTGTCAGACAGCTATTTTCTTTATTCATACACTGGAGTTTTACCTTTTATGTCATGTGGTCTAGTATCAAGTTCTCAAAATACACACAAGAGAATTTTTAACCAATCCCATTAAAAACTTGATTTAATATTATATCGTTAAAATTACATGCTCAAATATCAGTATGTTTAATATTAATACACAGGATTCATATGAGGTGATATACTGTGGAACATTTTGGAGACAACTTTTTTCAGTATTGAACTACATCTTATTTTTTTATTATTTATTTTAAGATAGGATTTCTCTAAGTCGCCAGATTGTCCAGGTTGGGGTTGAATTTACAATCTTCTGAAATCTGTCCCCATCACAGAGCATCGCATTGTATGTTAAATAGAAAGTTGAGTGGGCCCTTTCAAATGATATTATGAAGTTGCATGTGTTCTTTTAAAAGATTTGTTCTTATATTCAGACATTTGGGGTATTTTTGTTGTGATATACCATGCTGGTTCAGAATTTTGAGGTCAAATCTGTGGCTCCTGAAAGGAGGCCTCATGAATTGTATTAATAAATGTCCTGAAAGTTGACTTAGAGACAGAATTCCTGGAATAGTAAGAGTACATCATTCATCCTAAGCATAACTAAGTTGGCTTTCTGGAAAGCTGGAAAATGGGCCCCCTACAGAAATGGCACAATTTAAAAACAGACAGTGCCTCAATGTTCTCACGTGTCTTGTGTTTCATTTTCATCAGCAACAATTTTACAACCCATTTTTTTCTCCTGAAACTTCCTTTTCCTATATCTAAAGCTCCTCTCTTAAAACCTTATCACTGAAATAAACCACAGCACCATCATAAGTCAATTATATATTTAAATGTGTGTTTTAAAATGTCTTTAATAGTGTTGACTTTTATCATCTGGCTTTAAATTGAAATATTTCTTATTTTGTTTCAAAGAAAAATAAAAAGACTGGAGTGCTCTTTCACAGTTTTATAAATTTTCAAATATTTTAATATATTTTCATTAGCCTTACTTTATCCTGAATAACCATTCTCTCTTAACTAGACTCACTATTTTAGGAAAATCTATCTAAGCCAAGATGTCATGATTGTAAGAAGTTGCAGTTTGTGGCAATATATAACCACTAGTTAAAATTTAAAATTAGTATTTCTAGCTCAATTCTCTCCCACACAAATGTTCGTCAGAAGATTACTGATAAATCATGGCCCTCACGCTTGCAAATTCAAAATTTTTTGATAAAGTTGAGAATTGCATTTTTATTATTACACTTGTAGGCTACTTCATATTTTCTCTTCCAATTGCTGCCTGCATGATTTTGAACCCTAATTTGTCTTGTGCCTTAATTCAAGGCTCTCTGTTTGCCTAAAATTCTTCACTGTAACTTTAGTTTCCATTAATCTTACTGGTCTTCAGTAAATTTAGCCCCATTTTCTCGGCTCCATTACTGCTGGAATAACTGGTTTTTAAAGCATTCTTTCATCTCAATTCCAGCAGAGTAACCACAGTGTATTAAACATACTGTCCCATGAACCAGACCAATTTGGAAGGTTCAGGAAAGATACAATTTCCTTTCTTACCCATCCCACACTCATTTGGAACGCAAACACTGCCCATCACATTTAGTCCTTTAAAAAACAGAAAAGGACCAGAGAAATGTTAAATCAATGCTATAGTGCTAATTTTGTGAAATTAGTCATAACTTTTGTTTGCTTTGTTTCTTTGGCCCCTCCACAGTACTGGCGATGGGACGCAGGGCTCTTGACCATCAAACTCCAACCTCAGTTTTTTAAAAAAACAAATTGTGATTCTGAGTGTGCTTTGAACCTAATCCAGCTAAGAGGTAGGGAAAATTGCTGGGTTTTAATAAGTAAACTAAGCCCATGTTTACAATGCTAGAAAAAGGACAAAAAGGGGTTGATATTTGTACTGTAACTCCTTTTTAAGAGTTTCAAGATTCACACTTCCTTAAATTTTCACCTGTTCTCCTCCCTCTCCTCTGACATTTTGTTTCCTCTCTGCCTTTCCCACCATGCCGTATGCTTTCTGTTCATTCCTCAGTCATGGATTGTGGCTGTTGTCAATTCAGTACTTACTGGATATGGAAAACATAAGTATCGAAAGGTCTTTCCATCTTATTCCTGCTGCTACCAGAAGTTTCAATGAAGAGTTTCCTGTAGAGCTTGTGAAACTACAACACGAATTCTCCTTAACCCTGAATAAAAATAATTAAAGTGTGTTTGAGAGCACCCATTACAAAATCCATCGAATTGAAACTGTACTATAAGAATTCTATGGTGTCTCCCAAAATGAAGGTAGATTAATTTGTCAGTTCCAATCCATATTTCAAAATGGTACTTTATGAAATAACAATTTACTTTGCTTTTCTAATCCACTGAAATGGTCTCATTTCTCCTCTAGTATTTTATACCATATGTCATTTCAATTGCAAGTTCCCTGCACACTTCTTCAAAGAAAACTTTTCTGAAAATATAAATAACAGATTTTCACTTGTTTTTTCCATGTATTTATGATATTTTTATTAAAAGTATGTCATATTTTACCTTTTGTACATATTTTGATGTTTGCTTCATTTTATATTTCATCAGTTTATTAAATTTCATGAGGATCCAACTTCTACATAGCATTTCATTTAAAATACCTAGTGTCTCAAAAAATCTCAAGGTCAGAAAAAACAATACGAGGAGAAAGGAGTGTGTCATAATACCTGGAATATGACCCATCAGGTGAATTTAGTGGACATTTCTCTGTCTCTGCTCATACATGTTTTTCTCTGTCCAAAAGTTTTATTGATATCAATCTTTCTCTTAAAAGAACGAAAAGATATCTAACGTTGAAGCAACTCACCAAAAGCCAGGTTATCTTAATGTCAATACTTGATTTGATGATATCCTTGTCTTTTTAGTAAACCTCATGAGCAGTCTCCCTCAGTGCTAAAATGGTGTTGAGCATTTTCTTATTTATTTAAAAGCACTAAGTGGGTTTTACACACTTGAATTTAATAAAGGAGTCAACTAATGACATTTTCCAACCGCCAAGATATGTGGAAGGGGCTTAGAATTTCCCTTGAGGAAGAGCACACCCAGGCAGGTAGGTCCCATGTCCTTGTTGGTTTCTCCCCTGAATGTTTGCCTGTGGAGACAAAATACCCCTGAGCCATTGCTGACATGATCTGTAAACAAGGAAATTAATGGAAAATAACCTTGTTTTCTATTACCTACAGTATAATTTTTTACATATCATTACAATAACATAGTCTTTGAAACAAACTAAGAAATAAAAAATACCTTTCCTCCGTACAAATGTGATAGTTTTGAAAAGAAAAAAATGAAAATAATAATAAGAGCAACTCTATTTATTCTATTATTTTCAGCATAATTAAGCCTGATGGGCATTTAATACATTTCCTTTGCGTGTTTGTATATTTCTTTAGACAGAAGCATTCTTTATGTTGTGCTAAAAATCACTTGATGGTCAAACAAATAGAATTAATATTATGTCTTAAATATAATTTCAATCGTAGAGTTTAGAAAATTTGGAAATTCGAAATATCAGTATTTTTCTATCGATCTAGCAGTATTCTTCAAAACAGTCTTATCAATGAGCACACTGAGACTTTAAATCCACCAACGATAGCCCCTCACATACTCTGTAGGCTCTAAGTTAGGGAAGAAAGTCAGCGGTGTTAGGTGTGACCCACAAAACTATAACCACACTGACTGAAAAATATTAAAATTTTACAAATATACATTTAGAGTTACATTTAAAAATTAAAATATACCACGATTATTCCAATGGAACAGAGGTAGACATGGAAAAGTATTAGAAATTGGTAAGTGAAATTAGTAGCTACTTAGGGTTATCTTTACAAGTATGAGCTATTTTTAGTGTGTGGCTAACAAAAGTAAATGTTTGTTTGGAAATTTGTGCAGCTGACAGGCATCAAAATTTTGGTTTAATATTTCCATCCAAGTAAGGGTAGTAAAGTACCATTAAATTAAAAACTATAAAGTCAAGTAAAGGCACTTGATCACTGTAATATGAAAGCTTTTCTTTTTCCTTATGTTTTCTAATTTTAAACATAACTCAGAATGATATATAAGCCAAAAGTAAAAGTGTAAAGAAAGCTGAAAGGCATGTGTTAACATAAGCAATCATAGGATTCATTTTTTCTTTATATTATCAAGTATCTGTATTACGAATTTGCCAATCCTAAATGGCGGTGATCTGCATTGTTTTTCCAAAGTGTCATTAAAATTTTGGTTATGAAAGTTGTATACAGAATATTACTTTCTTAACATCCTCCTGCTGTGTGATTTCCTTACTTCCTTATGTAAATATTTTCAGATTGTGAATTGCAACTAATTTTCTTTGGTTAGAGAATTCCAAAGAAATTCTGTGAAGCAAACACTCTCAGTCACATAAACAGTGATGAAACCACCTAGTTCTATAACGTGTCATTTTTATTACTTCAGCAACTATAGAAAAAAGAATGAATCTTTGAGGTAACTAAA